ATATAAATCATATAAGTTAAAAAACTTTTTATACTTTTTTAATTATGATTGTTTATTTTCTCTCCTCATTTCTATTCTTACTTCATCTCTATAATTTGAAATTATATTATTAAAATTATATATGCGTTTATTTTTCAATCAACGAACTGTTTACTACGTCACGAAGCATTGACGAGGTACTGTTAAAGATCGACCATGGATAAATTTTTGTGAAAGACTGCTAAGCGGGTCCGAGGATTGAAGAATTGAAGAATAATGATATTACCGATCGTTTTAATTGTATTGTAGAGGGAGCGTTCTGTTTGAGTACGTTGTAATTGGACACAGACACTTGCAGCAGAGAGAAGCCTGAGAGTGGTCATGGACGCGTTTAGCTGTACCCTTGTCGCGTAGTGCATGCGTAATGTGCATGTGTTTTTGTGGTTCTCTTCCAGAGCTAGACGCAAGAGTGATAAAGATGGACAGTCGTATCCGTATCGTCCGTCTTTATCACTCTTGCGTCTAGCACGGAAGAGAACCACAAAAACGTCCACATTATCTACACGAACAAGGATACAGCTAAAACGCGTTCATGACCACTCTCAAACTTCTCTCTGCTTACAGCGACCGATGTTTGAAGATTTTTCTGGATTCACCAATCAAATAATTTTATTTTAAATTGGCCAATCAGTAACGTGAGCAATCGGGCGTTATCCAAAAATTGGGTGACACCCATTTGACCACGTCCCGATTGATCATTAGCCACTCACAGCGCTTGAACAATAGAAAAATTCTAGATGCTGGTCCCTGTGAGTGGTTAGTGGTCAATCGGACGTGGTCAAACGGGTGTCACTCCAAAAATTACAAAAGTGAAGAAATTTATTAGCTTTCGAACGTATGAAATTGCAGATGCTCTAATGAATTTCCTTACTTTTGTAATTTCCACCTCGTTTCAAGATACACACACTCGGCTCCCAGGTGTTATTTCTGAACGCAGCCCTATAATGCAAATGCGATAGGAAGAGTCTATTCTTATTTTGTCTATGCTCTCTCTCTCTGCTCGCTGTTTTCGATCTTGAAGAACCTTCCCTTTTCATTTTTCCTTGCTGGTGCACGTGGTATGTTAATTTTATGTTGTTATTAAAGTTCTTTAAATAATTTATTATCAAGATATTTTATAATTATAATATATTCGAAATTATCAGGTATTATCGTAGAATGATAATATTTACAAAAATTTGTTTTTTTTTTACCATTGATATATATAGGTGGAACATAACGTATCAATAAACTCCAATTTTCTAAAATCTAAAATTCCGACATCCTCCAACTGGAGGAAAAAAAAAAATAAAATCTAAAAATCTAAAAACGTTCGAGGATGCATTTATATTTACAATAGAATTATAATAAAGAAAATACCGTTATTATTTTAGGAAGATTAAGATGTCGCATTTAAACTGGATGATCATCCGTGATAACAATGCCTTCTTACTTAAGAAGCGCAATATCAGCAAACCATTTTCTACGGTTTGTATCACGTAATATTTTACAAGACATCTATTAACTATTGAAGAAGTTATGCCACAACAATATTCTTGATTATTATATGGATTAATAAATATTTAGGAATCCAACAACTTGACAAACTTAAGTAGTTACCGCTACTCTGGTTTAGTTCATCGCAAAAGTGTAGGCATTGTTGATACTGCTGATAAAAAAGGATTCACCGTTGTTTATAAGAAAGCCAAGGCAGTGAACAAACCTGCCAAAGCTACTGTAAAGAGCACAATGAAGGCAGGAGCTCGTCGTTCTCTTTACAAGTTGAAAACTTTGCTTAGGAAGAACAAGTATCGAGTAGATCTTACAAAGGTATACGAATCATAAAATTACTGCTAATTATAATAGTTTATCAACTTTTTAATTATGATCAAGTTTAAAAGTTTAAAAGTTTAAAAGTTTATTTTATGAATAGTCTTATAGTTGACGGTAGAGTTTTTGAAAATTTTATACATTTTGCAAATAAGAAATTTTTTTTTCAGTTTTTAACTTTTTTATTTTGAAGTATAAGAAAAATATTTAATTATAAAAATTTCTCATTTATTTTTACTGATACATTTCCACTGAAATGTAATATGTTATATATAATATGTATAATGTTTTAATTTTATGTTATTTATTATATAATATTACAATATTTCATTCAGGCTGCATTGCGACGTGCCAGTGCCGTGTTGCGATCTCAGAAACCTCTTCCTGCTAAGAAGACACGAACTACTAAAAAAGCTGATTAATTTGTATGCTTTATTAAATATATTAAATTAGAATATTTTATGGGTGATGTATTCTGTGAAGTAGATGTGCTCTAGCTTCTTCTTGGTTTTAATGTATTATATTATTTTTATTAAAAAATAAAAGTTGCTATGTACACTTACTTTGCAGATATATCATATGTTTTTTATAAAATCTACAAAA